GAGGAGAGCAAGCAGAAGTTCCTGCGGCTCATGGGAGCGGGCAAGGTGAGGCGGCCCCATCTCCCACCCCCTCGGGCTTCCGCTGGGGCCTCCCTGCGCCGCGGAGCTGCCGCGGGATTCGGCCTCCTTCCCCCGTGCCCTGGCTCTGCCTGTGCTCAGGCCGCTGGGGGAAACAGTGCTGAGACGTATGTAAAATATATATGTACATTATATAAATAATGCAGCTTTCCGGAGGACTGAAAGCAAAGGCTTTTAAACCCCTTGGCAGGGGTTTATTAAAAAGTTATAGTGGATTGCACCTCAGGAGTTAAAAATAACAGATGGCCAGATTATTTAAAGGGAAGATGCACTAAATCCATTCTCTTGTCAGGCTTTCTGCACAAGATTCCACAAAAATATAATGGCATTTTTTTTTTGCATGTACAAAGGGTAACTTTGACATTGCAACTTTACTTAAATAATCCTGAAAAGGAAGAAGAATTTTACTTCTATCTGTTTATGTTGCTAGAATATTCTAAATTAAAATGCTGTATTAAAAGGGTGGAAACTAAAAACTGACTAGAGGATAGAAATGCAACACTGCCTTAAAACATCCCACTACCACCAACTGCAAGTTCTGCGTGGATACTCACTGTGGCTGTTATGCCAGGTCTTGCCTCTAGGGATACGTTTGAGAAGCCTCCAGGATGTGGCCAACTTAGCAGTATGGAGATCTTGTCTGATGCTGGGAACAGCCTGTAAACAGGATTGTGTACACGTAAGCTGCAGAGGCTGAACATAGCATCAGAGAAATGGACCAGAAAAAAATGCTAAACTGCCAGAGTCTAAATTCACACACTTACACGCCCTTTTATAGTTGACTGACATACCAGTATGGGTTGATGACTTTTTCCTTAGAGTGGGAACAAATGGGAAGGAAAGTGGAACCAGTTTGGGGCATGTGGGAAGAGTAAAGAATATCTAATGGTTGGGGTTTCTTTTTCCAGATAATTCTTTTGCATACAGACCACATTTGTTAGCTATTGAAACTTACTGCCTTACAGTTGGTTGTCAAGGTTTGACAGCAGACCTTTTCTGTTCTGAGATTTCCAGAATGTTGGCAGAGCTGTCAGTGCCCCCTAAAGCTCCAAAACAAACTGCGTTTTCTTTTAGAAAGAACATACTGGCCGCCTTGTTATCGGAGATCACAGATCGACCTCTCACTTCAGGACAGGTCAGTTTATCCAATAGTTGATACAAGGTTGGAAATTAAATACTTATTACTTCTTGGCTCTTTGAGCCTCACGTATATTTTTGGGAAGGATTTCGAGTTTTTTGGCTGAGGCTGAAGACAGGTCTATTTCTTTTTAGACTACTGACAAACAGCTGTTGCTGACTGATTTTACTTCCCTTCCAGCAATGTACCTGTGGCGGTCAGCTGAACTTGGGTACAAATGCTTTGCAAATTAGGGTCTATGCTGCCTCCGTCTTACTCTATAAATGAACTAAAATAGTATTTTATTGGTATTGGGACCTAGGAGTGTCCTTGGAGTGATGTATCTTCATTGTTGCCAAGTATGGCCACCTAAACCTCTAATATCCTTCTGTGTGAGAGGGAGCAAGGCTGATTTCCCCCCCTCCTCTCCCCATCATCCACAGTTCTTTTGATTACTTACTGAACAGATAATGATCTCTGCCTCACAGCAGCAAGGTAAAGAAAATAAAAACACCTGCAAAGTTATCTTGGTAATTGGTAGTATATTGTAATGTAATGTAATTAGTAGTTGATGTCATGTAAGGTATGACCACAATAACTTATTTCTTATCAAGTTTGCTCAGGTAATAAGTCAAAGTACACTAAACTAAAACTGCCTTTGACTACAGGAGAGCAGCTTTGATATAAAGCTGTGAAGAAGAGT